AGCAGTCTGAGAGTTTGTCTTTGTATTTTTTGCTTCCGTTTTCCAGTAAAACATTTCCAGGAAATATTGATTTATCTGCTTCAAATACTCATTGCAGCTATTCGACTATACCGTGTCGCACTATCGTAGATAACCAACAGCTGAAAAAGGCATTTTATGCTCAATTACGTAATTTCCAACAATCTTCTCTTGAGTGAGTAAACCATTCTGAGGGATAGAATAATTTAATGGTTGATGGATTTCAAACTTCTCTACTAGTTGAAAAATCGAAAAAACATTTCAATTTCTGTTCATTTATGCTCACATGATGTTCACAGACGCAAGTTCAATTGATACATATCATGAATTGAAGCTTTCGTCGTTTCTGTCTGTCTGTCTGTCTGGTATGTCTGTCACGATGAACCTTAAAACCACCGAATCGATTTTTATATGGTTACCAATAAATGAAGTAATTCAAGAGGAAGATGTATATAATTGTATAATGATCTGTGGAAATTTATTGAAATATGATGATGTTTATCCATGAGAAAACCATTATGTTGTCTATGTCCGTTTTAATGTTCAAAATGATAGACGGATATGATAATAATCTTCATTAAATGAATACCTACATAAGTTGCTTCAATTGTTAACAAGAAGAAAGTAATACAAATCATGAAATTATGTAACAACATGTAAAACGTGCAGCACCACATCATCTGGAAATCTTGATCTGCCAATGTCCTCTCTTTCGTATAACGAAATGTAGGGTGTCTCCAGAGGCTCCAATAAATTCAAGACATCGCCAGAACACTTAGTGACACGACTATCGTCAAACTCAAACGAGTCTGTTTCGTCTTTGACCAATGCGTAATAATGACCAGATTTAACCACAAGGAACAATGATTGCATGAAGATTATAACAGTGGTCTGCTATATTGAAGTGTTCATCTAATTAGAACCTTCGTAAGAATTGGGTGCTTCCGTCAGAGATTGAGTCGTGTTTGAAGATTATCAGTGTTATTATTAGGTTGACTGGTGCCTCAGCTATATTTGTTTTCTTATAATAGTCAGTCAATTTGGTGCATGTTTGGCAATACAGTTGATCATCACCCGATAAAAAATTCATTTTCAGATGATTTCGCGCTAGAAAATAATTTCGAGCGGTCTAACAAACCCATGCAAAAATGTCATATTTTTGTTGAGTGTATTTTTAAGTAGATATGTATTTACTCATTCCAAAATTTATACGATACTTATGAAGACAATTTAGTTTGGGTGAATAATTCAATTCAAAGACGTTTATTGCTATAGGATCTTGGCTTTCGACATATCTTGCTTTATATACAGCTTGGCAAATCTGGCTGTGCCTCCGAATATTGGATGTGCAGTAGATCAGTCGGCGCAGTGGAGCAGGAGCTTATTAATATCGCTTGATAATATCGCATCTGAGCTCGAGCTCTCCTCGAGTTACTCAAGTAGAGAACATAGTGTTAGTACAGTTAGTGGAAAAATTATTCTTTGTGGTAAACTGTTAGCTGTAAAAATGCCTTCGAACGGTAAACTGTAAAATCAGGTTCTCAGTGGACAAAGTAGAGAAATTGGAAACAACATATTGAGATTCATGCAAACGGTAGCAAAGGCAGATGGAATAAGAATTACTTATGCGAAAGTAATAAGTGATAGTAATAAGGAGTAAACTTGTAACCAATAATGTATTTGAACTTCGAAGGTTAAAGAACTGTACAAAAAATCAAATCGGAAGTGAAAAACTTGGAAAATGGTGAAAAATGTCATTTTCAACTCTGAATGAAAAGAGTTGTATCGAAAATTCAAAATTGTGATGGATGATGATGAATCGGAAATTTTACGCTGATGCATAATTAATTGCCATATCAAATGGAAAAGAGATTCTACTATAAGAGTAGCAGAGTGTCTTTGCGAAAAAAACATGAACTGGGATACCGATGGGAAGAGATGAAAAATAAGAGGAAAATATTGATGAAACAGTTGACTATACATTCGCTGTTAAAAAGCGTTGTGGTGATCGATAATGCACCACATCATAATAAACAAATCAATAAAATGCCAATGATATTAAGCCGTCATGGTAATCAGAGAATAATATTTCCTTTAGACACAACATGATGAAACCTGAATTATATGCCCTCATAACGTTTTACGATTATCGTAATAACACCCGGATTTGAATCCAATTGAGTTGGTTTGTGCTGAACTGGAAGATATGTTACTTGTCATGTAATATTGTGACGATTTTTTGAACAATTTTCTTCTGAGCAGTGGAAATCTCGTTGTGAATGATCAAAAAAATTTGAAGACGATTTCATGTCAAATGAACCAATGATAAACATCATCATATACGATCTGATTATTAATTTACATAATGAGGACAGTGACACTGCATCTGAACAGAAATATGGGAATGACGTTTCAGAGGATGAAGATTGTAATCTTTCCAGAACAAAACTCCTGATGATCTAATGAACTCACTTAAGGAAATTTCGCAATCACTTCATAAAAACAACCTATCTTTACCCATAATGCTCTCACATGTTGCTCAATATATCCAAATCATTGAAATTGAAGCAAATCAAGTGGATAAAAGAAGTGTTATTATAATAAAAATGTCACCGGTCGAACCAGAAAAATACACTCTGTATCGACTTTTACCAATACCAATTCCAGATAACCGAACTGCACTTCACATATTATTAACTGTTCAAAAATATATTGCGAGAGATGATGAATCCTTGTTGTTCATGTCAAATGAACCAATGATAAACATCATCATATACGATCTGATTATTAATTTACATAATGAGGACAGTGACACTGCATCGGAACAGAAATATGGGAATGACGTTTCAGAGGATGAAGATTGTAATCTTTCCAGAACAAAAAACTCCTGATGATCTAATGAACTCACTTGAGGAAATTTCGCAATCACTTCATAAAAACAACCTACCTTTACCCATAATGCTCTCATATGTTGCTCAATATATCCAAATCATTGAAATTGAAGCAAATCAAGTGGATAAAAGAAGTGTTTTTATAATAAAAATGTCACTGGTCGAACCAGAAAAATACACTCTGTATCCACTTTTACCAATACCAATTCCAGATAACCGAACTGCACTTCACATATTATTAACTGTTCAAAAATATATTGCGAGAGATGATGAATCCTTGTTGTACATTTCACTTCAAAATTTAGAAAAGTGTGAAACTCTGAATAATGTAAATATCTGTTCCGATCTACTACCCTACCCGATCGATAGCGAAGCTATATGCGAAGATTGACCGTCTTCCCGAATACTTGCCAGTCTTCATTGATCTATGCTACAGAATACAACGTCCAGGAACTGAGTCTAAATTTGTGGCTCATTGAAATATTGGAAATATTACCAATCACCATCAAAAGCGAGAATATGGAACCAGTTACACAAGTAATCAAAACCAATTCCCTGCTAAAGCTCCAACCAGGATGTAGCTCACTGGTTGGGAGCACGAGAATCCACTCCAAGTATTTCGTCGATAGATATAAGAACGTCACGTACAAAAACCATACCGTTCGAATACCTTACAGCTGTTGCGATCACCTTCCTGAAAAACTACATCTTCCAGAACTGAAACCACTGAAACTCAACAAAATCAACATTGAACAGTTGGACATCGCTCAACACAAATTGAATCAATATCATGAAGAATTAGACAAACTTATCAATGAGCCGTTTATGAACAAGCACATATCATGGTTCACATATTGCACCATAACATTGTTTTAGTCATATTTTACATCTTTTGCAAATGCAGACGAAGAGGATCTATACGAATCGATATAACGTCCACTTCGAATCAACCACCCCTGGATCACCCAAGATCAGCAAAAAGCAACAACTTTTTGTATAGAAGGAGAGTTGTTATGTACCAATTAACGTCTAACGTCTAAGCGATAACAGCTTTCTATGGAAAGTCTCAATTGTGCAGTATCAGCAAGATAAACACGTGTGTTCTAGACAAAGCAATTGCAGACACTACTCAAACATTGTTTTTCATATCAAACATATAAATAGACCCTGCTAGGTCACAAAATCGTTCACCACCAATTATAGGTTCTTAAGGTATAATTCATTCTTTATTATTGTTATATTCACGTTTCTCTATTCAATTATTGTACAAAGTGTTTAATGAAATAAAACCAATTTTTGAAAGTGGGAAGTGAAAAAAAAGATATAACATGTATGTAGTGGTGGTATGTTATTATTAATATTGCAAGCAATGTTTTTAGATTATATACTTCCTGCGTTTTATAATCATTTTTAGTAACTATACATTCAATTATTAATCAATTATCGGTTGAGAAGTTATCCATTTTCTCTTAATTTATTTATATGTAATGAGAATGTACGTATCTATTATTTGCTGTTATAAAATCACTCATCTTTGAATTATTTTCCAGCTGCATAAAAGGAAACATTGTGGTTTACGTTCCCCACTGGCGTAAGTGTAGTTATCAACACTTGCCGAATTTATTCAAGCCAAAATTTTTTTCCTGATTGTACACCTAGATTTGCCAAGCTGTACATTCATTCATTTGCAGGAATGCTCTAGAAGACTCTCGAATGTTCTTGGCACTTAGAAATTTCTAGAGAGCGAAACTTTCATTCCCTATATTCACTATTTCTGAATATAAGTTATCTTTCACTCAATAACTTAATGAAGACTTGAGAAATTTTCAATATTTTCTTTACATAAAAGAATGAATAAACAGTAACTCATCAGCTGATCAAGAAATGTAAATATTATATCCTGAAATGCTAACAGAAAAGTATCATCAACGCCAAAATTGCAAAATATTTAATTTTTACGTGTCGCTATTACTGATTTTCCCCTGCTGAGTTTTCATAATATATCGATGTTGTTTGCGACTGATAACAGTTGTAATTTCTTCACCATATAATTAAAATGCTTTATGATATATTTGTAAAATTTATACTCACATTGTACTAACTTGATGCATAGCCACTTTTATAGTACTATTTGCATTAGTAGTATATTGATAAGTTGTGCATTTTCCTTCCATTTCCAAAAAGATTGGATATTTCTCTTGTTCGTACCATTTTCCTAAGAACTGAAAGTGTTTCATGAGCTCAGTTGAAAGAAGAAGAAAATTGAGCGATAAAAGTATAGATAATGATTAGAGGAAACTGGTCCTTCAAATTGCATATGAAAGTGATTCGTTTCCTCAGATTTTCAACGAACTTCATATTTTCTTCACATTGAAAAGTTGAAATATCGAAATCATTCGCCACGCATAGTTCGAGTTTTGTCACGATCTCATTCCATGCACATTAAACAAGAGCGAAATACTGATTCATGAAATATTAGCAGAGACTTAAATTTCGTTTTTCATTCAACTAATTTTTTCAATTTCGAAAGAAAAATGAAAACTTCTCACAAATCTGATTTCCTTATATTTCAATATATTGTGTGTGCAAAATCGCTGTACATTTATTCAATTGTCAAAATGTATCAGAGGCGCAATGGCACAATGAAGACGTTTACAAAATAGAAAAGTATATTAACTCTATAGTGATAATAGTTTCCATGAATATATCTATGATGACAAGAAATTAATTGTCAACCTTTCTTCGATGATACAGACTATCCAAATGTTATGTTTCAGTCTCCAGTTAGTTGACAAGCTTTTTGATAGATATAACCCTTAGAATGCTTGGGAGATAAGCACAATATTGAAATTTTCACATAATATTCAGTGGCCATACAAGCTGTAAATCAAATTAACTGGAAGAATAATTAGTTCAGGCCGGTCTCTACTCACCTACACTGTAGGTTAATGGACTGACACCTATCAGAAAACAACTATTCCCCTGGCTGATACCAAGAAGGGCATTGGATTATATACAACAAATGTCAGTGCAGAAATATTCATAGAAGTATTTTCTGAAAATGCTGTTGGCGATATAACTGCTGGAATCTATTTTCAATTCTAGAAACGGGCACATTGCAGACCGGTTTCGGCTATATGACCTCTCGTCAGTGCAAGGTAGTGGCCATTATCAACCCAGAGTTAATGCAATGACACCTGTTGGATATGATCCAACGCCCTTCGTGGTATTAGCCAAGGAAATAGTTATTTTCTGATAGATGTCAATATATTAACCTACAGTGTAGGTAAGTCGGGGCTGGTCTAAAAAAAATATTCTTTTAGTTGATTTGATATCAAAATTTGTTTCAATTCGGGTTTCATTAAGCATTAAGACCTACGGTTAGAACAACTCCCCTGCCGGAAATATTATTCTAAATTGTTTATTACTCGAAAGTGTTGGTTGATAGAATATTTAGAGAGAACTCAAGTCATCGACTTGAAAATATTGGTATTTCTCAAAACCAGACAACCGCAAATGGAAACTATCCATTTGATAGGTAGAATTGAAACTCTGGCATGAAATGAATCTAAAGAAAAACACTACCCCTTGGCGTCCATTTTGCTCACCAAGTTAACTTCATCGAACCATGAAAAATAGATTTATTCTTCTGAATACGCTAACATGGTTAGCGAAACGCACGTCGAAAGACGAGCAATATCAATCACAATATCTCGAACTCTCTCATTTAATGCCAATCAAAAATTTTTTTTCTTTTTCAATTCTATTGTGATTACCGCTATCCAAATACTATTAGTGCGACAATAATATATTGTTGTTCTATTTTATTTGTGGGCTTTGACATCTTATAATATCAGTAAATTGTGATTGATATTAGTACGCCACAATTTGGTACTGAAGAAGCCAGTGAACTATGTACTTCTTTTATTTTTTCCTCATTATTATTGTTGAAGGCTTTAGAATAGACCAGCACGAATAATATCATCTGTAACATTCTACACAGCCGTTGTGCAGCTGTACAACGGCTTTATCTGTGTACAACTATATCCCTTTCTGAAACCAGCTTGAATGTCCGGCAATATTACATAATCACTTAAGTTACAGCATGCGCCAAACGTGATGGCAAGCCCTCCTCCACGCACACAAACTCATTTTTAATGTTACCCCCACTACAGCTCTTGCAAGACATACAAATGGTCTGTACAGAGGCGTATCATTACTTGTCCTCCAATGCTGTTGGCGTTTGGCATTGTTTGAATAATTTGTGCTGTTTCTAAAAAAATGTCACCGCCTAACAAAAAACCACTCATCAAGAATGTATCCATTATATAACACTTTAATTAACTTCACTATTACCTATAATAAAAAATAATTTGCTACCCTAATCAAAACTAATTACAGATACGACACTGGCCTGCAAGAAGCTCATCGTAATCTAAAAGTTATCTAGGTGGGAGAAGTTTCTGGAAGTGATAGGAGAACCGACAAGTGAAAAAACATCTCCTTCAGAAAAAAAAGTTACACGGGATAGTATCTGCATTACGATTCCAACCACCACCAATTTACCAAGAGAGGATTCATCAAGATCCTTAAATATTATCGGAGTTTTTTCCCAACACCAAACCGTCATTTCAATACATCGACACGTGTTTCGATCACCAACTGATCATCTTCAAGAGGAATATCGAACAGTTTTTTCTTCCAGTAATATTCATTACTACACCAAAGGTTCCAAATAGTGCATCACAAGTATCAAGATCCTTTTTGATCATGTAACGGAAAAGAAATCTGGACCAAACCAGGAAAGACCTTCTGCAGAATAATTATTCCAAACAACTGTTAGATCAGATTTTGACCAGGGAACAAGAAGGGAGCGAATCCATCAACAACGGCTATCCCTTCCCAACACCTTAAAATTGTAGAATTAGAGTGGTAGGAGAAGATAAGATGAATTTTCTTCAATGATAGTAGGTGATATTGGAAATCTGGAAATACCATTGGTAGCAGCCTTATGGAAACAATGCCACCAAATGCGAATAGAGATTCGTAGAATTGCATTTATCGAATACTATGCGACTGTGACAGGCCGTTGAAAGTCATATTACAGGAAGAAAAACCTGCAAATCAATAATAGCAAAGCATCAAGGCATGTTTGAACTTACCAAAATAACATCAAGTGATACGAAGAGTTATGCATTTAGCGAGGTGAGTATGGTAATCTCTATTCAATTGTGTACATTGCATTGAACCTGGAAACCCAGAGAAGAAAAGGAGAGAGGGAAGAGCATAGAGCTTTCAAGTGACTAATAAATAGTCTCAAGTATCAGTAATACTCGTAGGTCAGTTATTACGTACGGATGATTCCAGATACTAACAATTGATAAGTTCTATTTTTATTCTTATCGTATTTTTTGCAATTTTTTATCCATCTCCATTATTTAATTTAAATTTTCAATTTCTTGCATTTTTATAGGCCCTAAACCAGCTGTTAGGGTACCAAATGTTTGACTTAGAAGTTGGGAAGTGGGTCTATAAAAAATATGAAGAATACTAGGCACATACGGAGAAACCTTCATAAAGAACCATCCAAGAAGAGAACTGAAGAACAGCATCAATAAAGCAAGGATTCGCTCAGCAGAATTACGAGGTTACTCACTGGACATTGTCCATTGAGAGGACACCTGAACAAAATAAGGCTGTACAACTGTGAGTTGTGAGACACTGGATGACAGGAGGTGTTCAATTCATGAACGACACAAAAACTACTTTAAGAAATAGAATTGTTGAAGTGAGTGGAAAAGATGGGCGTAAAACGCAATGAGCTTTGGGAAAATCAACAAGTCAAAAAATATCAGTCTTTTCCACTTACCTTCTCAGTGTTGAAGTTTTTCATGACTTCAACTTTGGGACACTCTCCTAAGAACGGGTATATTTGCTGACATGAGATAATGTTAATAGTTAAAATCGGTAGTACCAAAACAAAAATCATTGCCATCATTCACAAACAACTCAATTGTTCTTTTCACAATGTCAAGAATTATTGCGTAGCGACAATTTATATATTTCCATATGTTAGTGGTATCAAAGACCTTGAGTTTTCTAAGAAAATGAAAATGCTGGCAACGAGCGTAGTTTGAATAAAGTGGGTCAGTATAATGAGGAATGTTAAGAACAATGCAACTGAGATAATGAAGTGGAATTTGAGCTTAAATTTAACAATTTAACGGCGTTGAAGAATTTCCATCAGTTTTTTTCAAAAGCCGTCTGGTTCAATGTTTTTCTTCCGATACTTTGGAAAATATTCGTTCATTCGAAAACCAATATCACGAATGCTGGTCTCTCTGTCATTTAAAAACAAACCTCAGTAAGTTGACGTTTTAACTAGTTGCCTTGTGGTGAAACTTGCAGTGAAAGACATAGGACGAATTTTGTTCGGTGATTGATATGATTGGCTCTGCAATGGATCATTTCGAGGAGTCTAGTTCATCTGTGATATACGCTTATTGGGTCTTTCGTCAAGTTCATAGATGACTTCTTCGTGAAAGGAAATACAATCGTCCTCACTTAGCAATTTACTATTGAAATTGAAAGCTCACATTTTCACTTAAGATGTTCTGGAACTTGATAATAATAATACCTTATTCAATCAAGTTTCCTTCACTAGAGTTACTCTTCCGAATGAACTTTCAAAATTCTACAAAGATTAGGCCATTTCTTCAGTCACATGTCATTCACAAAGTCACTTGATTTCCCCTGTCAGTTCTCTTAGGTGGTTTTTGCAACTTCTAGTCAGCATCAACTGCATTCATGATTTTTATTCAAATTTTTTTCTTGACTTTCAATTTTTCCAATCTTATCTGATTGAGTTTTTTATTTTTGTCTAACACTTGATCATAACTAACTATAAGATTATTAAGGAATACAATATTATGTGTTTCCGGAGTATTCAACAAAATACCAATCGACAGAAATTCTTTCGATTTGTCATATAATTAATATTCGCTCAAGTAGTTATTTCGAAGTCTTTTTGATTCATTTGAACACTGTATTTTTTCCACCAATTTCTGTTAGCATCTGGTAACAACAAAATATTGGAACTTCAATGTTCATTTATAATGATAATGTGTTAAAGCTATTTTGCGAAATTTTTTGGCGTGGTCTGCAGATTTCAATGTCTGACGTTTCGTCTACTACTGCGGTAGACATTAACAAGAGCTATAAGGTAATAGAAGAAATGCTCCAGTTGTTCCCAATTCGTCTCGAGTTTAATATTATCATTGAATAGAACTGGCCGATACTTAATGAGAATCCATATTGAAAAACTAATTAATACAGTTTATTGTATGATTTTCAAAATAAAGGGTTTTACAACAAAGAGCATAAACAAAGAGTTTATGCTTGAGGACGCTATTGTATAGCGAAACACGTGTCGCTCTCTTTGTAAAACCCTTCATTTTGAAAATCATACAATAAACTGTATTAATTAGTTTTTCAATATCATCAAAGGCCGACGTGGCTTCGTTCCTCTCAAATGGAATACCAGTCTCCACCTGTTCAGAGATTGGGGTACCTATTTCTTCTCGCGGTTCCAATGTGGACCGACTCGCAGATACAAGAAATTCGGTATACCCCGGGTGTTGCTAACGGCTTTCCGGTGTCTTTAGCTGACTTTAGACGTTCTCTAATCGTTTTCGTTGGCCAACGTGTCGGTTTCACTTCATGTTTCTCTTAAACACTCCCAATCCGGTCTGCTACAGTTTCAACATAGAGAAGGAAAGCTTTGCCCTTGACGGCCCTAGCTGGGGTTACTTTGACGTTCTCTGGAGAGATAACGTTCCCAGGCATTCTCAGGAAAAGGAACGCCAAAGTTACTTCACCTAGGTCCATCACCGGAAAACTCTCCTTTCCTATGTTGAAAGTGTTACAGATTGGATTAGGAAGAATTTCAGAATCAATTTTTAGGCCAACGAAAACTATCAGAGACAGTCTGAGGTCTACACCCGGGGTGTTACCGATTCCTTGTAGCTGCGGGTCGGTCTACATTGGAACCACGAAAAATGTATAGGCATCAGTCTCTCTACAAATACAGTAATACTCAATAAATCTCACAATTACTATTCAAGAATATATAGACAAGCAATAAAACTTCAGATACACAGGGATGATTTCAATAGAAAGTAAGAGGCAATGTACACAAACAAGGTCATGTAATCCAATTAAGAGAAACGAAGCCACGCCCACCTATGATAATATAAAATCGGAGAAAAATTCCAACATTGTAGTTTCTGCGTTGGGAACAACTCGAACACTTCTGCCGTTACCTCATCGTCCATGAAAGTTCACATTCTTTGAATATTAATGTCTTACGTTAATGTGTTTCCTAAACTTTTTCCAGGTCCTGCATTTTCGAATTGAGGCCATTACAAAATACCATTAGGTACCATAATCAATACCAAAATCTAAGGAACAAAATGAAAATTCATTGGACAATTGACATTTCTATGTTTCGCTAAAAATGGCAAGTTCAACTTGTGGAATTGTTTTCATTATTGAAAATGTATATAATCTGAAGGTCATTTGCATTTTAGTGTGATTACTTTAAATGATTATTCAGTGGAATTTTGTTATGAATTTTCAATCATACAAAAAAATGAAGTCACTATCGTCAGCAATAATTGTTTGTGCATGTATTTTCAAATTTGAAATTTGAAGATGGATACAGGAGAGTTACATTTTGAATGAATTTTTTGATGGGTTACTCTTTCTTTGATGAAAAATATATTTTTTTTTGTTGAAATCTTTAATGGAATAAGTAAAAACACTTTTGTCTAATTACCACTAGTCAATTTTATTTTAAAGGCCATTATAGAGTATGAGATAGTGGGGTTAAACTTGAAACCGGTCCAATGAATAAAATTGACTAATAATGATTAGACAAAAGTGTTTTTATCAATTTCATTAAAGTGATCATAATTTACCACAAAATAAACAAGCCATCAATCACACATGTTTGATGATATACATACACATGATAGAAATCAATTAAATATATTCACTATCTCATAGAACTTGTAGCTACACAATTGTTTTGACATTCTGTCGAATCTTTTTGTTTAACTCTAATGTATTGTATTGTTGATTTTTCTCACGATATCATCTTTAGTAAGATATGCTAACAATCGCTTCAGAGAAACTACCTTTGAAACATAATTACAGGCAATTAAATCTCAGGGGTAACTTCGAAACTGTTAAGTTTAGACTAGACTGTGTTATCTATCCCTTTGAAATCTGTGGTTGAAACCTCTATCTAATCCACTCATTACGGAAAATGCATATTATGAGCATATTATCTCATCTAGATGTCAGTTGGTAATGGCTATGTAATCTGCATGATGACTTGAAGTAGATGAGATTTTCAAATCAGTTTTAATCATTATGAATTTTGAGAATCATTTCATATTGAATGTATTTGAAAAAAATATTTGAGAGAGTTATTGAGCTCCAATATAGAAAATTCATTCAAGCTTCAATAGAACAAGACATCGGTCCTTTCAACTTTCGGTCAACCTCCATTTGCAGAATTCTGATACTTCTGAAACTATCATTCATATCATTTCAACATTATTTCAGAAACTTCCCGATCTATTCATCAGACACCCAAAAAGCCATTCATATTATAACCAATTTTATTCTCTTGGCACTTTTGTTAGAATTTGGCATTCAGAATATGTCATTTTGTGCCACAAATCATAGAACTTTTCTCATATCCTTCTGGATATGACAAAATTTTTCATTCAATTCAGCAATTCTTTCGAAGCTGAGCTTGTTTCAGAATGGTAGAATGATAGAAATGGGAGAAAAAGAAATGAAATAAACAAAAATAATTGAGCGAACAATAGAGCGAACACCAAATCAAACTTTCACCTTTTCAGTTATCTGTGGTATTTCGATATGTTTCTAGAAAAGGAACGTATAAAATGTATAAAATAGTGACTAATTTATTTTCACCAACTCAATATAGTCAACATTCTAATGCTGATAAAATCAAAACCATTGTTTTTTTCTTAGACATTTTCGTCTATATTAAACTCTTGTAAATAATTTTGTATTGTTTACCATCTAAACATTTTGGTACTATATTTTCATATTAGTCAACCTTTTCAAAAAAGTCATTCTATACGTAATATACTAGACTATATAATGGTCTTCAATAGAATTAACCATCAGTTTCGTTTGAAATTGTTGCAATATCTGAGTTTTCTTCAAATTATCTGAACAATCGACAACAGAGAGTAATGATGAGAAATACTTCCTTGCAGAAGTCACATCTTCTTAGCGGAGTACCTCTAGGTTTGCTCCTAGAACCTCTACTGTATATAACTCACAATTTACAGATACATACATCCCATGAGTTTTTGAATATAAACACCCCAGCTCCTTCTCTCTGGTTCTAGAATAATTAGTACTGTCCTACTATCAATGCCTCAGGAGAGATATTCAGTCAGTTATTCATTACATAGCGATATCCATTAAGAGTCCTGTTTTGTTTCTAGACACATGTTTGAAGTTTGGAGAACCTATATCCCCCGTGTTCAAAAAAGAAGATACCAACTTCAAGACGCTTTCCATTTATTAATCCCTATAGTTTGCTACCCACATCATTGAATTCGATCAATCATAACTTCAAGTCAAAACCAGCAACTTGATTACAAGTTCAGTTAATTGGATTTCGAAAATGGAATGTTCTTCACAATAATAACTATTTTTTCATGACACACTCAGCGTTATTCAAAATGAAACTCGAAACATGCCATGATATCAAGGAAAATTAAGTTCATGAATTGGATTGATCATTCTCATCATTCATATTTATTGTTCATCAGTAGATAAACTTTTTCGATTGATTCATCTCAATTGACTCAAATTTCACTTCCATTTAAACAACCTATTGAATCATTCGTTATCCTTGTTTGCAGTTTTGATTGTCGCACATCACGTGTGATGTTCATTTCTTGGTTGGGTGGAAAATCTAATCTAATTTTTCGGACGAAGATTGAACCCTGCCGATTTTGTCTCAGATGTATGTAATAGGATCCAAAGTGAGTGACTCAATTCGATTATTTACTGCCTGGGTTCAAGTCACCCATTAATATCATCAAATCATCAACCATTTTTTTCATAAGGTTGCACTGGGCCCTATCCCCGTTACATTCGGGAAAGCGCGCAGAATTTGCGCCAGCAATGACCACTCTCTACACCGTGGGGCGAGTTGATTTATCATTTTTATTTTTATTATTTTTATTATAATTTTAATTGAATTGTATGAATATAATATAACTAT